AACATGGCTAAACAGCTGTTAACAATAACAAAATGCAAAAATTTTCATTGGTGATGTAGATCGAAAACTGGATTTCGTCGACGGGCTGGTACATGGTAGTGATGATGCGAATTTCAAGTATGGAGTCCTAGACTTGCATGGCAGAGGTCAATCCGGTTCGTTTCCGCGTTCATGCTGGATGTCTAGGTCAAACGAGGCTTGAACAAATGGGGTCGCCGCGGCCGTTGACAGCTTGATTTCTTTTTGGGACGAAGTTGGTGTGGTGAGACCCCTGTTCAAATGTCGTCGGTGTGATGGTCAGCCAACGGGATCAAGCCGGGAGACGGAAGTCGGCTGCTAAAAATACCACTGGGTTAAGCGCCGACCCTTGTCTCCCTTTCCCCCCCTCCCCTGCCTTCATATTGCCGGCCACCTCGAATCACGGAAACTCTGGCAAGCCGCAAGGCGACGATGGGCATCTTAGGTAATGAGCCTGGCAGGCACTTCCGGTGGGGACCAACTCAATTTTCACGGTCGCTGAGGTGATCCATCCCCAATCAATTCATTACCAAATATCTGTAGAAGTGTACTGTGTAAGTGAAGGTTCCGCCAAATAGGCCAAGACCAAAAGTAGGGCAGTGTGCTGCAATGTCATGACTTAGACTTATACCGCCATTTAGGATGAGCCGGGCACTTCCCGCGGGATTCTCTCCACCATGTTGAATTACATCTTGGCTGAATTATGGATGCGGCGCAGAGGTGATAGACATCGAGTTCTCTGGACAGAAAAGGTATGGAGGCAGTATACGATTGCGCCGTGAAGAAAATGCAACGGCGTGCAAGCCAAAGGGTCGCAGTAGGAATCCAGGCGCAGAGCGGCACAGAAAGCGTTGGATAAAGAAATCCGGCTCGATGTGGGCGTTATGGACGGACGGACTGGTAGTGGGCAATGATTAATGGCAAGGCATCAACGGAGCCCCAAGGACCCAAAGACCCAAAGACGTCCATGCCCGGGCCCCAGTTCCAACCGACAGATTGTCGGCCGCAATGCGCCTTCCCAGGATCGAAGGCGACGTTGACACCTTAAGGCAAGGTGAGGTGCCTTACGTGCGAGTTTACGTGCGGAACCCTAGCGCACGATGTTGGCAAGGGCGACAGTAAGGTAGGTACCTCAAGGCTCAAGGTAAGGTCGAAGCTGCCCCTCATCGAGTCCGAGCCGCCCCAGTGAGGTCCACGGGAGTTGGTGCCTTCCATTCGGAAAATCTGCGGTCCAGGTCCAGCCAACCTAAAGCACCTCAGCGGCGGTAAGGTGCGAACATACGGAGTAGTGAGTACCTGCCTACCCAAGGACCGGTAAGGTAGGAACAATGGACCAGAGTCACAACGGTCCGGTCGATCCTTCCTCTTCCCGTCCTCGACGTGACCTTTGATAGCTTTCGTCTCTCCACCATCCAACTCGCGACCGTTTGACAACCAACAAAAGCTTGGAAACTTGCGACCGCCACTCCGAAGCTTCTTTGCCAGTTCCCAGAGCTCATCGAGCTAGCTACCTTATTCTACCGATAGCTTGATTTTTGCTGCCCAAGCATGGCCATCCTTTCTCCTATCTTTCCTGACCTTGCCAATCGTACCTACACTAGCAGAAGCGAACGTATCCCTCCCCCTCCCGGAACCACCCCTCATCAGCCCATCGCTTCATCACCTCATTCCTTAGCTCAGCTCCGAGATATCTCATGCAGCTTCAGCTACCTTTTCCGAATCCCAAGCTCGACAACAGTCCCAATCATGCGCCCGGAATATCGAATCCTGAAACGGACCCCATCCGCGCAAGAATTAAGATGCCCGCAACACCCCTCACCGGGAGCCAGCTCCGAGACTTAAGGTTTCGCCGGTATATTGCTCATCATCGGTCGGTCCGGCCCCCAACATGGAAAAACAGACGCATCACATCTGTCCATCTGCCCCTGAATCCTGATCTTTTCCCCCGAAAGCTGATCTGCCCGAGACCTGTGGGTCTTTACAGGGCCGTCCTCCGTTACGATCCGATGCATTTGCTGCCATGAAGCCGGTTCGGACCCCAACACTTGCGGGCATTCATATCGACGACGGCACTAGCCACGGAAGTACAGCAACTGAAACACTGAAGAATTTCTGCCCCGACGTCGCATCTCGCGCTGCCCGTTTGTTCATCCCTTGACAATGACTGGGACCGCTGCCCCCAGCCCGCAACCGGGTCCCGTCCGTCCCTGCAGCCGGCCCAGGCCGTCGGTGTGACCCCCATTGGGACATCTCCACCGCCCATGCCGACACTCGCCAAAAAGATCTTTGTGACTTTTTTTCCCTCGATAACGCACCCGAGATGCTGTGCAGCAACTTGGTCAACGTACGTACCAAGTAGCGTACCCAGCTAGCACCTTGTTAGCGTGCCTATTGTCACCAACGCTTAATCCAAATTGTGGTATTGCTACCTAGGTTCTTCCATATCGACCTTACTTATCTTTGTCACACCACGTTGATTACTTGCTAAGTTGGACTCTGCGCTCAATGTAGACATCGCTTTCGTTTCGAAGTTATTATAATAAACGACACATTTGGAAGCACAGAAACTTAATGCCACCAAAATAGGTCTCCAATGACTGGCAATTCGTTCCTCGGCACACCAATAAGGCGCTGGGCTGCGCCTAAGCCCCTGCCGTCCCCGCCGATTCGGGGCTACCCCTGTCCACCGCCCTACCTCTCCCATGTTTCTCAGCGGGCCGGCTGCTGCATGGCGTTCTCTTGGTGTTCACGTCAAAGATTGACAGCAGTCAATTGCTCGGTCGCTCGCCGCCCTCACCTTGGGCGACCGATGTTGCTATTCATTACCCCACGACCATCGGCGAACCTTCCGATTATTGCTTCAATATGATCGGCCTGTTCCTCCGTGCCCGCAACTCGGAGTCTTTGACGATCTAACAAGGAAGCGGAAAATTTCAACCTCGGGAGCCCCTGAATCATGGCACAATGATGGTCAACTCCTTCAATTTACTTCACTGGGGATCCTCGGTCCTCGGCCAGCTTGGAATCAAGCTGTATACGCCAGTGTCTGTCGGGAAGACGGCTTGTCAAATGGTTCACTATGTCTGTCTGCATGAGCTATGCGCCAAAGGTTCAAAATAGACTGCAAGCACTCGGTCACAAGTACAGTACCTATCTGTGCAGGAGCTGCTTATAGCCATCCTGGAGTCGACGGGTCACAAGACTTGTATGTATTCTCTGCTGTCGCGGTGAGCAAAAGCGACCTTGATACGCAGTCAGACAGACGCGAGACACACAGCCAGTCAGAGGGTTCACGGCTCCATATCTCCCACACAAATTGTGTAACTCGCACGCCAGTTGGCTGCTGCCTTCGCTGCCCTCCGTTACATCTCCCGCTGTTTGCTGAACTGGATCTTGGGATGGATGCCCTGCAAAGTCAAAATCCAAAAAGGGCAAGCCAGTCTAGCAGGGGTTGTTGACAGGGCAGCCGACTCATGCATGTACAGCAATGACAACGGTTTACTTTACGGTCGGGAGACTGCGCCTCATTTCGTCTGACATTTTTTTTCTCTCGCAGAATTCTCACTGTCTGTACAGCATTTCCCCCAGAAAAGACGCACTCACAGCCACTACTTTCCCACCACGGACGCTAGCGGCCGCTACTGTGGGAAACGGAATGACCGCGCTCCATTTGGCGCCGCTCTTTCTCTCGTATCTACACAGTGACGCCATTACCGCATGTTGCTATTCCTCATTGAGACCTCCGCGTTGTCTCCCGTTGAAATGGCGGCCTTGTTATGCAGTACAGGCATTTCCCATACACTGGGTAGGCAGGGTCAATAAGTCAGTCAGCGACAAGACGGGATATCTGTCTACATCCAAGGGGAAATGAAGACAAGACGTCTTGTCTGCCAGAACTGTGGGTTTCTTGGGGCCTCGCCGACATGCGACTCGGTCGATCTGGTTCAGATCTTAGACATGAGAGGAGAGACACAGACGCACACGAACGAGACGAGACGGAGAGACAGAGTCAAAATGGAAACATGACCGTCCACCTCGTCATCAACCGCGGCTACTATACATGGCCGCGGCTTTTCTTTGGGATGTGGCAGAGATCCCAGACGCGCTCATTCCGTGACATCGCGGCAATTTCATACCAAACTTGGGGAGAGACGCTGCGTGGGACCATGGGATGGGGTCCCGTCTGCCAGCCTGAGAGGGCTGAGTCGTATGACAGGCATCTGGTAACTCTACCAATCAACCCGAGGCCAAAGACAGTGGTGGGTGACCGAACCCCAGCTCGGCCGATACCCTTCGAAGGAGTGCCTTGCATTTTTTCGAGCAACCTCCATGTCCCTCCGTGTCCAACACCCTTGAATACCCATGTACATACACACAGCTGACAGGGGAAGCGAGGCCTCTAAGAAGAACAGCCTCCTTGAAGAGCTGACAGTTTCCTTCTTTACTCGCACTTCGGAAGACTTGCGTCTGCCTCCTCTCAATATAGCAATGTCTCCAACAAGCGGCAGCGGCAACAGCACCAGTATCTTTGTCTCTTCTCTTCGTTCAGTTCCATTGCATATCGACTCCGCTTAGAACCAACTGCTCTCTGCATCTCACCTCGACCCCCAGCCTGTTGTTGGACAGGCTGACAGTCTCCAAGAACCGCCCCCCTACCTTACCTAGGTCTTTTGCCTTGCCTTGCCTTGCCTTACCGTACCTTACCTTATCTTACTGTCTTCCATCCACCCCAGTTTAGTCCTTCATTCTACACTGACACCCCCTTCTTGGACCCTGACTGTCCCCCAATTCGCACTGCGCGTCTTCATGTTTGGGGGTTGCTTCCAACTACACTCACTCGACTTCAGTCTATTCCGAGGAGAGCATTCAGCCGGGCTGTGCCTTACTAACTTTGGCTGCGTTGCTTCCTCTGCATTTCCCTCTCTGGGTGCAACCATTCTGCATCTCGGTCTTCTACACTTCCCTTTTGGGAATCTTAAACCATGGCCAGCCTCCAAGATATCATGAACGTGGACGAGGACCAACTCGAATCCCTCACTATTAAGAACGACCAGGTCCCGGCTCCATCAGGCAGACATCATCAACCCTACTTGGCACCAAGCGCAGTTTACAACACAGACTATGCGACTGGGAGAGATCAAGCAGACCGTTCAAGCACACCACAAGGCACGAAGCGAAGCTCATCCTCCCGCACCTCCAAGTCGAACACCACAGGCTCGTCATCTTCATCTGCTCGACCAGTCAACACCCGTCGAAGGAGCAACGTCAGCACCGATTCCATGGAGCAACCAAACTACGGGTACGGCCACGCAGGGCCCTCGGGCGGCGGCCTTGATCCCTCTGGCCAGCCCATGAGACCTTTTGGCAGCGTGCCACCTGGAGGGGAAGTTCCTGTCAAGTTGACTCCCATTACCGGCCGTGTCAGTAGGGCGAAGAAGGGTATGAAGGTTCATACATGCGACCTCTGTCGTCCTCCCAAGGTACGCCAGCATAATTTCGTAGAAGTCCGTTAGAGGAATCCGCTGACTTGAGTTAGACATTCACACGCGCTGAGCACCTAAGGTAGGCTTGATGCGATAATTTCCCACCGCGGTGCTTCGGCTAACAAATTTTGATACCAGACGACACCAGCTTAGCCATGAAACTCCCCAATATGGGTGCTCAATTCCCGGTTGCGATAGGGCTTTCCACCGCAAGGATCTACTTGAGCGTCATCAGCAACGACAGTGAGTTTGGTATCCTCATCTTTCGATTCTGGCAGCATCAACTGACTCGTAGTAAGTGAGCTCGAGGGCGACAAGGCATCGAGAAGCAGAGGAGGGAGTCAAAGTCGCCGGACCTCAGCCGCCTCTTTGGACGCAGGAGTCCGAAGCATGGGATTACAACCTCCCTTGCTTGGATACCCTACGAGCGCAACAACACCGATCCACGGCCTCCCAATGACATCGAGTATGTCACACCCTGGTACTTATCAGTCCATGAGCGCGCCAGATGTTAGCAAATCTATGTCTCCCCACCTAGGGAACGAGAGCTATCGCCCTTCGTCCGGTGGTCCTGGTTACGGTGGAGGCTATTCTCTGTCCGGCCAATCCTCACAACAACCCATACTTCAGCCTTCAAATGGCGATTTCAACACCCCGCCCTCGTTTTCCTCCATCGACTATCAGCCACGCACAACTCCTGAGTACCCTCCGTTGTATCTCCAGACATCGGGGCTGGGACTACAAACACCTGAACTTTCACACGCTCAGGATCCCATGGGATGGCCTTCTTCAGCTTCCGACAGCACTTATTCAACGCCTTCCGATAATTCGCGACGCGCGTTCTGGCCGACGGCGGCGCCAGATTGGCAAAATAACCTCCTTTCGCCTTGCCCAACAGGTGGCTACGAGACCATAGGAGCTACCGGCCCTATGCTCTACCAATATTCGACCTCTCCCCAGCTCAGCACTCCACAGGTGTACCCGATGCTCGGCACTTCCATATCTACCTACTCTGACGAGCAGACATTCCGTGACCCTCAGCAACAGCCACGGTTCCCCAATACTGTTCGTAGCCTGACCCCGCCGGTGACATCGGCATCGGCTCAAAGTTGTGAAACTCTAGTCACCCCGTCGACGGCACTACCATCGGACCGGATGATGAACTCATATGCCTGTTTGGGCCGTAAGGAGGTGGCGTCGGGCCTCCTAGCGGCCCCGGCCCTGATGCAGGGCTCCTTGCCTATGTCTATCTGCAGAGCCATTCCCGGCTACCTCGATGTCTACTGGGAAAAGTTTCACCCACATTTCCCAATCGTACACCGAAGGACATTCGAGGCCGCGGCGGAGCAGGTTGAAGTGCTTCGTTGCGCCATGGCTGCAGTGGCGACTCAATATCTGAGTGGTAAGGAGGATCGCATCAGGGGGGATCAGCTGCATGAATATGCCTGGCAACAATCCAAATACGTAAGTTGACACAACCATACTCTACAATGAAAGTCACTTTGCTGACATTGCGGGAGGAACAGATACCACAATGGGACGTGCCTGTCATGCAAGCGATTCTGCTATGTGAGTACTTCGCGCGGTTCCGCGGCCGGAGAGCAGCCATCAGGCCATCAAAAGAATTCGAATCCGTTTACTTGCGGGTAAGTTCTCTTCTGCATTTCATTCTGACACGTTTGTTCTACCTCATTTCTTCTAGCTTTAGTTTCTTTTACTGTGTGAACTTCTCTTTCAGTCTTTTGGATCTCTCATCTCAGCAATAAGTTCTAAACCTCCGTTCCAGGTATATGACAACAAAAAGGTCATATTTGGCCCCGTGCCTCGGACTGGAACCAATAACGTCAGATGGCACACTTGGCTCGATGCAGAGGCTCGTCGTCGCCTTCTGTCGGCATGCTTCGTCCTGGATATCCACAGCTCGGTTTACCTGGATCAGCCACGAGTCCGCAACTTCGACATCACGACCGATGGCATGCCACCCAACATCCCGCTCACTGGCCCAGCTCAGGACCTCTGGGATGCACCTAGTGCCGATGCGTGGGCGGCGATGGTCTCGTCCAAGGGAGTTTCCCTGGATAACCAAACGCTTCTGTCTTTGCTCAATCCAGACAGCTTGTCAAGAAGCATAGTCGACGCGCACGCCCCTTTCGACCGTGCAGTGATTCTGGCCTTTGAGGTACTTTTGCTCCCTCATCGTGGAGAAGCGGCGCAAATTTCTTCGTCTTCAACAGAAATACTGGAGCCACAGACTTTCCGCATGGCCAACATATTCTCGGACTGCCCCAAGGCCAACACCTACCTGGCTCTTCACCACACTCCTCTTCATGATTTACTGGCCGTTTCAGGTGACAGTTGGATCTTCAGCCACAAGGTTCTGCAGTCTAAACAGTTCGATGAGCACAAACAGCGGCTCCGGGAGTGGTCCGACTCGGGCAGCGCTGCCGTCGCGTTGGTCTTTGCCTGTCGGGCTCTTCGCGCCTTCACCGACCACGGCAACTCTGAAGAAGACTCCGATGACGAAGATGACATGGATACTCGAGAGGCCGGCAGACCCCGGATGTGGAAGGACATTTCGGATTACTGGGGCATGTACGTTTGCGCCCTCATCTGCTGGGCCAACGGGCACCGCATCAACGGCGGCGAAGCAAGTCGCGGCGATTCAGACAATGACGACGAGGCGCTTCAATGGATTCGCACTATTGCGAGCATGGGCGTCAAGAACGCCATGGAAACACCCTTGAAGAAGGAGGCCACGATGGTCGTGGCTCTTGTGAGAAGATGGCTCGAAGTGGATTGCCTCGGCAACAGGAGCCGACTCTATGTCGATGCAGTCGGCGTTCTGAGTAAGTTGGCCGAGGGCTGCACCTGGAAGTGGTTTTAGATGGAGATGATTGTGTGGTTGGTGGTGGTGGGTGGCAGCATTTTCCTCTTTTCGACATTTGGTATCAGCATTGCATACTTCACTTCGACTTTTCCTACCATTTTTTCCCAGCAGTGTTTTCTGCAATTCCATTTTCATCTTTTTGCTTTTTCCTTTCTTTGGCATGGCACACAGCACATTCAAGAGCAACTTGGCCAGAGGATCATAATACCTATTTGCATTGTACACTTACGACATTTATGACGGGAGGAAGAAAGCAGGTCCAGAAGAAATAGCATTTACGGGAGGACACCAGATAGAGAAATGTAGAGACGGCCTTTTCCTTTTCGCTCATGTTCTGTTCCTCAGTTCTTACGAGTATATGGAGGAGGATGTAAACATTGATGAGTGCTCCATGGTTTATAGTGGTCGTAATTCTGAGCAGAACCACTTAGTATATATGTATCGAGACGATGAGAATTTACCATTCATTTCAGAAAACTATGGTATTACGCATTAAATGAATAGAGCCAGATAATATACATGACTCTGAGATGTGAGATTCGCGGAGTGTTAACCTCAGCTAGAGACCTGCATACCTCCAGAGGAGGAAGACCCATGGACCCCGATAATTCGAACGTGGCATTGGTCTACTTGTTCTTCAGGCCATCCTCTGCTTTTTATGTGAGAATCTAGTAGGATAGGCAAGCCCCTTGTTTCCCCGTGTTTGACTTTTTGCGACAATACCTAGTCGGTAAAGTGAGCATGGCAACTGGCGCTTTGGGCGCAGACTGGTGAGACTATCTGATGAGGTTTCTCTTGTCGTACTCATCGGAGTTGTCGTGGTTGCTTGTAATCAACTGGCCAGCTCTCGCGATCGCTGCCGAATGAAGCTGCAGCATCGAGCACAGAATACGGAGTATCTGTGTATCTATCCGTACGAAGGATATCTACGTATCGTCATCCCTCATGCCGAGAACCAGTTTCGATATCGATGCCGCACCGCAGCTTCAAAATCGAGACTAGAGAAGGCATTGCCGTGTTCCTGACACGGGCCATGCGCAAAAACAGGGACTAGCCCTGCTCCGCCCGCAAAGGAGAACTGGGGATCAGATGGAGGTCAAAGAAGGCGTGTTCGGACCATGTCCATCTTGGTCTGTCTTCAGACGTCGAGTATCGCAGAGGCTTCACCTGGGTTCCTGGCCCTTGAATCCGAGCCGCCGCTTGTTTCTAGCTGTGGTCCCAAGACTCGGCCCGTTAGACTCTTCGACAATGCTAGGTGGATCAAGAGCGACAAGCAGACTGCAGGCGTTGAGGACGACGCAGATACCTGATAATGATATTCAGTCTAAAGGGTCTCACGCTCTCAGCAAATCTGCCCAGCTGTCTATCACTGGGGCTAGCATGGCATCAAGCGGTCCTGACTGACCCGTCGTCCTCGGTACGGATACGTTCAGCATGATCACGAGTACTTGCCGCTGGAATTCTCCAGAACACCTCCAATGTCTCACAGACACCCCGTGACACCGTTCTTTTCTGCCCAAGCTGAGATCTTCTCAGTGACTATCCGCACCTCATTGGACGAGTCGAAAACCACAGCTTGATTACCAACGCCAGGTCTAGCCTTGTTTGGTATAACGAAGACGTAGTCCCTCAAGTACAGCAGGAATTATGCTATCGATGCGCAACCAGAAAACGACGAAGGCACCACTAATGATCGAGGGCTGGCTCGATATGTGCGGGCGCGTTGGAGGCTATCACGGCGTCGGCCGATCGTTGTGTGACAGCAATGCACGTAATTGACGAAGCAACAGGAGACCCCCCAACTCTTTCGACCAGACGTCGAGCCGTAGTGGTTTTCCTCAAATCGCTAGATCTGGCTATGAATTTGTGTGCTTACCAAGACCGCGGCCGCGTCGAATCTGGCCAAGTTCGGATAACCCGTACCTTGCAGCAAAATGGCTCACTCCTCGAAATAGTTGAGCGCCGCTGCACCATACAGAAAGGTTCCATCTCATCCGATATCAGTAGTGGAGCGCGGCACGTACTTCGCTGGACAGTGTACGGACAGATTGAGTTCACCAGGCCTGAAGGAGCATGGCAAGATTCAAGTCCCCGAACCCCTGAGCTCAGGAGCAGAGTTGCCGGCTAACGAAGTGAAAAATTCCAGGGTCCGGGGCGCAGAATTCCAGAGCTTAACAATGTCGAAGTGTGAGTCAATTGCACCCCTGAAGGCGTTGAGGGACAGGCAGAAAAAAATCTGCAATACTCGAGTCGCCAACGTTACCAACATCCTCTGCTTTGGGCCAAATCAGGTGTGTCCTCCGGAAGCACAGAGCACGTTATTTACACACAGACACCATTCTGGGTTTGATTCGATCTTGGCTGCCATGTATTAAGCGCGATCGTTGTTCTCGGCCTCTGCTCTCCCCCATGTCAGCAACCAGACAGGCGCTGTCTTAGAGTCACCCCTCTGTCATGCTCAGCATCCCCCACGCTTTTGCTCTCTTATTTTCTTTGGATTTTTTTCCCAACCCTTGGCGAGAAGACTGACCAATCTCTGCCCTGGTCATATCGATATGCTGGAGATGCAGTGTAACTACGCTACGGATACAGCATCAGGAGTTTGTGCGAAGAAAATGGCCGACTGGCGAGAGCGACGGGAGCTGCAGGGGAGGCCTGTCCATTCAAGTCCTTTGCTATAGCCCGTCTTGGGACAGCCGTGTCAACCATTTGGAAGAGAAGCGGCGGCAGGAGACGTAGAGTGGCTCAGAGCGAGGCGTCTTGCAGCCCCTTTCGCTACCTACTCAAGCTCTCCCAGGCTTCACGAGAATCATACCTACACAACAGTCTCAGACATTTGGTGTTGACGTTGTTGCAACTTCGTGTCTTATTTGGGCAACAATATCGGAGGTTCTCATATTATGACGGTGGACGCCCATAGGGCTCCAGTCCCAATGATTCCCAAATCCCTTGGAGGAGCCGCCGAGTATCGCGCTGAGGTGAGCGTCCGCGCCGCCATGACTAGAATTGTGCTGGATGCAGCAAGGCGCAAATGGTGTCGACCCACGCATGTTGAAAATCCCAATGGCGAGGGACACAGGCGGCGGGAGAGCCCTCAAGCGAAGGGCCGCTCTGTTCCCGTTGCCTAACCCACCGGATTGGATTCGAAGGCGAGTGGACAATGGGCTCGGGCAAACACCTCCTGCGCCAATAGCAAACATGTACAGCCAGGCATGCTCGCGCCATAGCGACGAGCGATGTTGGTGTTTGTCGGTTTGGTCGACGGCGTCAGCCGCCTCTCATCTGCCTCTTCACCTTCATTTCGGGGTTTGAGTAACCCCCCTTGATTGGCTCATGACGGTTCCCTGTATCAAGTGGAATCAGATGGTATCCGTACGCTTGGCCCATCATTATTCATCGTGGACAAGAAGCACACTCAAGCCGCAAGTGGGTTTACCGAATGACCCCAGATGTCATCAAGCCAACCACCACCCCACCCATGCGGCCATGTATGTATGTACCTCCCATGCCTTTGCTCCTGTCTCACTCGATTATTGCTTTTTTTTACAAGGTGCTCGTGCGGCGTAGGTCGCGGAGAAAAAGGGTTAGTTCATCAGAAGAGCGTGATGTTGCTAAGCCTCGTTTGGACTTCAAGTCTGAGAAGTGATCTGGTGATGGGCCCACTATTCGTGTCAAATGGGCCGGTTCAGTAAAGTGTTGCGTCGAAACGATGATTGTGGTTTTCCTTTCTCCGCATTCTTGGTGGGCTCTCCTTCATCTCAAACGGGGCGGGTCCGTGGGAAACGGCGGAGGCATGGCGAGACAAACCAAAAGACGACGAGAGAGATGGTCACATTCTCAAGGCTCGAGGAGCGGCTGACCGATGAGCATGGATTGGGAAGACTGGCCAATCTTTCTATATTCGTACGTCTGCACACTGGTATCACTCCGCAGATAGTGTGGTGATCCAAGTCCCGGACATACTGAGTGGGCGGTGATGCAATCGTCGTTCGGGGGGGGTTTAATTTGAGACTTGAACGACGAGCATCTCCGTGTCACGTTATTTCCTTCCCCGCATTCCTGGCGAGATGACGGGTGGAGCCATCCGACGCATGGCTCGCATCGACCAACAAAGCCAAGCTTGCCCGCCCACTTGCTTGAATCCTTGAGGCTTGGATTCCTCTCTATGCTGTATCCATATTACGTAGTTTGTATACGGAGTACCTTTGTTTGTATAGGTATGCTCGTAGTCCGTTGCGTCTCTAGCTTCGATGTCGATTTGGCAAAAAGAAACAGCAACTGACGATCCTTTCAATCATTGTTATAGCCCAAGTTTGGGTGCTGCTCAAACCAGCTTTGCTCTAACTAGACAGCTAGAAGACGCCAAACTGAACATCTCCCACCACCATCGCATGACTGCACGAATTGAACATGTCTATCCGGAGTCATATTATTTTCCCCTCTTGATACTCGGACGAAGGCGATACATCAGACGAAAAGAATGCAAAGGCCTCTTAATCCATGAATAGCATCACTCCGGGCGTAACGCCACACCATCACTATCCAAGTCCCTGCCCTGTCGACTATTGAAATCCCCCCCAAAGCCACGCACGAAAAAGGTCGAACCCACATCCGCCGTTTCCCTGTTTCCTTTTTTTTTTCTTACCCCAATCTGTCAGGGGGTGGTTAGCTGCAGGCAGGCCAGCAATAACGGATGCAACTCCTCGTTGGCCTGTTCATAACTGCAATCGCTTATCCAGAAGGAAGCGAGAAGAGAATAGGTAGTAAGCACCATGGATAGATAGACTAGAAAGAGAGAGAGAGAGAGAGAGAGAGAGAGAGAGAATGACCGTAACGGGCGACGTGCATATCCGAACATGTCAGGGCCATTGGCACCGTAAGAATGCAGTTTCTGGTTGATGGTGAGCATGGTCAAGAGCTAGTGGTTGCCTGCCCGCCTGCTTATTGCCCTCGTAAGCATTACGGGTTCGTGAGCCTTGGGGACCTGGGGTTTACCTTGCTTCCAAGGCGATCACGCACTCACTGCTTTGCTTAGCGTCTCCTGGAGGCCGTCGAGGAGGTGGGGGGAGAGGGCTCTCTTACAGGCCTCGAGCTTACGGTCAAGTTACAAGTATGATGATGGTATCAGCAAGCGAGCACGTCTTTCTGGGGGATGGGTAAGAGGTATTTCGGACTAGCAAACTCCAGAGGGTCTAGGACTCTAGAGACTGAGAGGGATTGACTGTGAAAGGGACGCGTGGCTTGGCAAACCAAACCGACACCCCCAGCCTAGTCTCCGGACACTATCGTATCCGACAGGACCGACACTGCCGTTCTAGCCTGGTTGCTGCTTAATTCCAGGGGGTGTGGGGGAAGGGAAGGGGTTTTTCTTGGGGGGGGGAGGGCTCTACGACGCTTCGGACAGCGCTTACTTCACCTGGCCACGCCTGGTCCGGGCAGAAAACGAAAGGAATATTTTATGGTGCTAGGACTAGGACTATCTGACGCAACGGTCGTGATAACTGACAAAAGTTGCGGGGTGCGACGGCGGCGAGCGGGCGGGCGTTGCGTTTTTTGTGTGGGACTGGACTGCGGGCAGTAAACAAACTTGTCTCGGTCTGCGACGCCTTGATGATAGGAACTTGATATGCGGGTAGTTTGGCATTGTGGGACTCTTTTTCATGTATGGTCTTTGAGCCATTATCATCCAGCTGATAACTCTTGTTATCTATGTCATTTTCACGTTACTCGAAACGTCAAGTCGACTCGAATGAGGGGGGCGAGTTGTCCATCGCTCAATTATTTCGACATGCTTTGGGCGAGAGGGGTTCGGGATTTGGTGTTACACGAATGGTACCGCAGTCCTGACTGTTTCTGGGGCAGGCAGACAGGCAGGCAAGGCAATGATGGGTTCGGTCACTGGTGAGAGCTCGGGAGGCTCGTAACCCTCGCATCGCAGTTGGTCCGTGATACCCTGGCGGCGCCCTCCGAGAACTGTCAACTTTTGTGAGGGGGAAGGGAGGGTTGCAGAGGCCTGGAGGCTAGAACTGACGACAGCGGCGAGTATCCAATCATTCATCACTTCTTTAATGGTCCTTGAGCCTGCCGGTGATCGTGCTATACGTTCATATCATCTCACAATTTTTTTGGAGTTACGCAAGAGTTGTCCTGCATTTTGCCTGCCCCCCGTCGACGAAATGAAAGTGAGGTTGGGGTAGGTAGTAGGATCGTAGGGTCGTAGCAGGCGAAAAGGAGTACGTGCCTTTGGTTCCGTCTCAACCGCCTGGGTCTAATCAGCTGCGCCTATTCGAAGATGGTAGGTATGCCTTTGGAAATTGAGAGGGCGTTGCAATGTCTCGGAAACATCGTGATAGACGACACCATCTCTCTGGTCATCCTCTCCTTGAGTCTTTTATTTTTTCGCCTTGCGCGCTGTGAATGTTACGTAACCTACGTTGATCGACTGCTGGTGTGAAGCTAGGGATCTACAACTTTACAAGTGGCATGTATTGCATCTCGCTTCTGCTATGGAGGTATTATTCTACCCTTTCTTTTCAAACGGTTCCGGTGTTAAGACGCCGTTGGGTGGTGTCCCGTCTAGAACGCGAAACCACGCGCCGCAGGGTCGCTTCGACGCCGTTGGCCTCGTAAGTCTCAGCTTTCTTCTTCTTTCGTGGGCGTGTTTTCTCTTCTTGTGGCGAAATGTCAAACATTCTCTCTCTCAGCGTCTCGGTAGCGTACAATAACAAGGAAAGGAAGACAAGAAGCATGAACGAGAGACCATCCTCACTCATCCAAATCCAATCGAACCATTCCCCTCCACCCCTTGCTTGGAAACCACGCCGATATGCAGACAACCAAGTGCTTAGACTAGAATCGAAAAGCAAGAGGAAATGACAAGTCTAACGCCACCAAGCAACCATCGCCGGTCGACGAGAGTGAGAAGAAGGTCCGCTCCAAAAAAAGCCTTCAGCTTTGTCTTGAACTAGCTATCTATTCTGCCCACGGCGCCATGTGGCCTGTTCCCCCCTTCTCCTCCTCCCACGCTCTGTCCCAAAGGAGAGGCACGCATCTGTGACGGGATGCACGAGTGTGCAGATTCCCGGCCACCACCATCGAACTCCGACCATCGACACCACTGTCGTCCCATTTCTAGGTAGGGAGAGAGGGTGAGGAGAAAGGGGGGGGCTAAACCTTGCAGACACCCTCGCGCCGGGCTTGCCTCCCATACTTCTGCACCAATCTTGTGTGTGGTGGTTGCGACCCCTCCATTTCAACTGTGCAGCCATCGTCGACCAGTCACTCAGTCACTCGACGCCAAACATTCAACAGCCCATCTTGCCTCCCAGAGCCAAGTGTAGGGTAGGGTCATTTCCCTCTGCGGCCTCCTCCTCCTTCCATCTCCTTCTCCTTCTCGCCACCCAAGCCAATGTAGGGGCAAAAGTACACACAATAGACGCTCAGCTAAGATTCTTCCTACACTCACGTCCACATCCAGCCGTTCCACGCCTGTGGGCTCCCCACTCCGGCTTGGTGCTGTCCCGACTTGGACTATTGAAGGTGTGGCCTGCATCAGACCGGGCTGACCGGGCCACACCGTGAGCAGGAAAGGCGCAGGAAGGGGGCTGATGATAAGGCAGGCGGCTTATGTGTTGCTGGTGGTCTCTCATACACACCTCTTTGGGAAACGATAGAACCGATTCTGGCTCACCTGGCCCTTAGCCATCGTCCTCCTGATGAAGCAGAAACTTTCTTGCTCTCAACCTGCTTTTTTTTTTTTTTTTTGCAAGAGGCAACCATCATCTCACCGTCGGGTCAGCCATCCTCAAGGGATATTTCTTATCGCAGAAAACACCCCTCCATCTTTGATCCATGATGGGTTAGTGGGGGAAAAGGTCACCGAGCCAGGTGAGCCGTGAGCCGGTCCAGCCCTGGCGAATA